CGACCCCTCCCGCCGCGAGCAACGCCGCGCCCGCAACCTGGGCCGGCGCCCGATCTCGCCCCGCGGGGCCACTGGCCGGAATTCCGCTGCCTTCGTCTTTTTGCTCGGAGTGTCCGCCCCTGAAGGAGCTGCCCTTCCGTTTGACCGGCGAAAGCGACCGTCGAGACCCCCCAACCGAGCCAAAGCACCAGCACCAGGGAGATGGCTGGCAGGAGGGAGGGGAGCGCCCTGGAGAGAAAAGCCCTGGATTGTATTGTGCCAGTCCGGGGGTGGCATTTACCGCGCGTAATTCTGGCCCAACAACAGCTTCTTCCCTGTTTCGATGCTGCCAAGACCTTTGTTGCCAACTGCAGCCAGGCCTCATGCCATCTGGCATTGTGGGCAGGGGAGGCAGCCATCCTTTCTCCAGTTGTGCTGGGAGTGATCCTAAGGCTGGCTCCCCCTTCTGAGGTCAGAGGGGAGCTCAGTTCCACTCCCCGGAAGAAATCTGCCAGGGGTCTCTCCAACACCAGGTCCCCATTCCTGGGGCATCTTCTCTCCCTCCAACTGCACGGATTGTGAGCAGGTGCCTCTACTGAAGAGGCAGACATTCCTTCCTGCTCTGGATGTTTACGCCATTTATTTTTCCTAAGTCACCAGTAATTATTTCAAAATCCATTAATGGGAAACAGATATGCTATTCATGATTTTCTTTATCAGCAGCAAATTTCTAAGAAAGCTGAGGTCAAATCAGTAATATTTGCTTTATAAAATCCCTGATTCACAGATGTCTGTTCACTGCCTAAATTTCAATGTCCAAAGACTGTCTGCCTCTCTGCCTTTCCCCCACACTTGGAGGCACACTGCACCCCCCAGAAAGACCGACTCCTGCTCAGACTTCAGCCTGCCAGATCAAATCAGTTGCAGACCAACAGACCAAGTCACACTAAGACTGCGCTTGGTTGAGGAGACCAGAAGACTGATTGTATCTCTCGGTCAGAGTCTTTGGACATGTAAGGAGTCTAAGCGTAATTCCTGAAAATCTACACCATTTGTATAATCTCCATTGGCTGTGTTTGTGTGACTCTTTGATTCATGGTTGGTGATGGTTTACTGAATTAACCCTAATTTCTGGGTTCACGGCACACTGAAATTAACCACTAGGACTGGGATTGTACAAGTCTTAGCTAAAATCCAGTGGGATAGTTACTGTGTTCTGTGAATCTAGCCATTTTTATCTATCTGCCTCTATCGATCTATCTTTCAAATATATAGCTGCCCATTTCACAAGAAGTGGCTCTGGGCAGCGTACAGCATAAATAAATAAATAAATAAATAAATAAATAAATAAATAAATAAATAAATAAATAAATACCGCAAATATGTCAAACATAGTCTGAAGCATAGATGCCCGTGACAATAACCATTGGTCAGTCCTATCCTTTGAGTGGCTCTGCATCAAGGTAGAGGGAAGTGCTGAGCTGTTCAATCTATTTATAAATTAACTGGATGAGGGGTTAGAAAGCATGATTACCACATTTCCAAGTGACAAAAAATAGCAAACACCTAGAGGACAGGACCACCTTGATAAGCTGGAGCAATGGGCAAAAAAACACAAGGTTAATTTCAACAGGGACAAATGTAAAATTAGGACTGAGTACTGTAGTTGTGAAAACGATCTGGGTGCCTTGGTGGACTACAAGCTGAATATGAGCCAACAGGGTGGTGCATCTCCCAAAAAAATCAAATGCTGTCCTAAGCTGCATTAATAGCAGTAGTGTCAAAATCAAGAGAAGTCATCATTCCTCTTTATTCTGAGATACTTCAGACCACATCTGGAATGCTGCATTCAGGTCTAGGCACCAAAATTGGAAGAATATTGTCAAACTAGCCTGCATCCAGAGGACAGCAACCAAAATGATAAGAGGCCTGGAAGGAAAAACTTAAAGGGATATTTGGAGGCGTTTGGCATGTTTAGTATGCTGTCTTTCAATATCCGAAGGGCCATCATGTAGAAGACAGAGTTGTTCAGAGTCATTCCAGAACACAAGACAAGAAACAGTGGGTTTAAATGATAAGGCAGCAGACTCTGGTTGGACCATTCACCAATGGTCCAGGGTAAATGGGAAGAGGCAGATTCTTCTTTGCTTGAGGGGCTGAAAGAGGCTAGTCAGCCATCTGTCAGAGATGGTGTGGTAGCTGATCTCCAGGATCCCTTCCATCACCTATTCTATGACTTTAAATTATAGTGAGTCCTTTCCATGAAATGAAAAATATGAGTTATTCATTGCATTTTTATCCTGGCCAAGGAGCTCGTGTATGTTTTAAATGTACCACAGGCCTGAGTGTTGGACAAGCGAAGAGCCCGTGTCCCACCCAAAGCCCCTTCTACATTTCAAGGCTTCTCCACACTGACTCTCATATGCCCCTTTTGCCATAGCCTGTTTAGGCAATCAGATGCTGTCAGCCCACTACAGACCCTCTACGTGCAAAATGAGGCCAAGATTCTAATTCATTTGATAATGGCATGAGGAAAGACAACAATTAAACAATTTAAACATTTTGCAGGGGACTTCTAGGACTCCATGGTTACATCTTCAACTTGTCACAGTTGTGGGAGGCTGATGGTTTAATTTTAAAATGAAAAAATGAATCCAGCAAATACAGTAGATTCTGTTTGAAGAAGCCAATTTGACAGTTCACAGCTTCCACGGTCAGAGTCAGGCGCTGGGGGAGGCACGGGG